AGAGGAAGGGAAGGAATGAGTAAAAGAAAAAGGGAAAGAATGAGAAATCTGATTAGGGAGGAATTCAAAAAAAGATAGGGAAGAAAGGGAGAGAGAGGGAGAGAGAAGGAGAGGGAAAGAGAAGGAAGAGAAAATGGGTGGGAAGGAAAATTAAATTATTCATTAAAAATCATTCAAGGAATTTTCTTTTGAGTGCCATATCATATTTCATTAAATGAAAATGTTTAATTAGCAGTAGAAATAAAACCATTTTTATAAAATGTTCTGACTTTTTTTATAGAGTAATGTGGGCCTCTGTTGTGGATCATGAATATTACATTGGTGCTTTCTTTGCATATAAAGTTATGCTGGCATTTCTTCTCTTACTACAGGTGAAATAGAACAAACATACTTGCTATAATGTTGATTTACTTTTAATCGTAATATCAACACCATTCAAAACTCACCATTCAGGCTTAAAATAACGGCTGGACATTGGACAATGTCCGGCCAGAACTGGGACTTGTCCTGTCAAATATTTGATGTGCTGGTCATTTTGACCAGTAACATTTAGCCAAAAATGAGATATGACTTAGCTAAAACTAATTTGGCTTGTCATGACCGGTGACTGATCGGCCGTTATTTTAAGCCCTGTTATTGCAACATCACCATCGCCAGTATCATTTCATCAATCTTGTTCTCATCATCAACTGATCCTCTTCATTACCAGTATCATATTATCAACCTGGTTTTCATCATCATCATCATCAACTTAACATCGTCGYCACCAACATCTTCAACATCCTTCATCATTGACAATATTTCTCAAAGTGTCTTAAAACTCATAATCATCAACATGAATCATCAAACTCATCATCATCATTATCCTACTCATTATCATCATCAGCAATCTTTAACATCATTCATCAATGACATCTACAATATGATTTCTCAAAGCATCTTAAAACTCACAATTATCAACTCATTATCATCACCAACATGTTTAGCATGATCATCAACATTGCAAAAMTAATGATTATAATTATTATTATTATTCCTCCTTGCTGACAGGTGCTTCACATTTACTGGGCATATTGTATCAATAGGATTGTATATAAAGCACTGACTGGAAAAGTAAGTCAACCACTATGACTGACATTATGTTGTAACAATTCAGCTGTAAAGAGTGAATTTTTGTTCAAAGTTGATATTATATACTTCCTTTGGTTAGCTAGGTGTAGAGTAATCCCTAACCCCTCTTTTTGCTACAGCCCTGTGCTATTCTAAATAGTAGGAAGTAGTTAGTTAACTGCTAAGTAGTTAGCTGTGTCCTGACTTTGATCAGCCCAGAGGTTGTTTCAGGGTTCAAGCRGTGAGTTAGCCATAACCTGACTTAGATCTGCATGCCCAGAGGTTGTTTCACGATTCAATCTGACTTAGCAATGTCTGGACTTAGATCACCAGGAGAGGATTACAGGGATCTTTCGAGGATCCCCTGAAAGAACTGGAACCCTTCTATCAACCAGTGAGATCAGAGCTTTTTTGATTTGAAACCCCCTCATTACATATGCTAATATTTTGATTCCAATAATATATAACTARTTTGCACGGAGTTCTAATTGTGTCCCTTTGTTTGCTTATTATGTTAGGGTGTGTCAGACTCGAGAAGTGATTCAGAAGACTTCTCCGAACCAGAGCAGATAACCAAAGATGTTCCACTTGAAAAGAAAAAGGCTRTCTAGACAACAACAGTACAGCTAAACCCCAATCATCTTACAGTGAAACTATAACCAGGCCACCTAGACAGCGAGAATCAATGAAATAAGAACAATGTGTAGTTCCAGAAATCATCCATACCCACCCCACAGAGGAATTTGGAATTTCCGAAGAGTAGGGGTGTCAGAGAAAGAACGAAAATTACAGAGTTTGTATGGAAGAAAATTGGAATTTTTACGGGGGGTAGGGGGTGTCTTAAAAAATTCCTCCATGAGCGGGGTATGGATAATTTTTGGAACTACGCAATACATTCCAACTTTGGGTAGTGGAGTCAATCAGAAACCAGCAGAAARCRATAGCTGCCAAAATATCTTTTTATTCCCACAAGAAAATTATGATGGCTATGTCGTTGTTAACATCAGGTTCAAATTACCATTGTTGTGCATTCTAGGTTTCTGATTGGCTTGTTTACCCAAACTAGATTGCATTGTTTTCATTCTATAACTGGTTCTCTTGTCTAARTGGCCCCGATTACAGTAGTTAAGCTGTAACACTAGGGGCAAGCTAGAAAAAAATATGTAGTTTACTGCACTTTTCAGTTGAATTTTATTGATTAGTGTCCAATTTTTTTCTTTCTACTTAATGACGTACAGACCTGGACTCGATAACATAATGTTATGATGTCAGAAGTATGTTGTTTTTACATTAAAACTATAATCAATAAAATTAAAGCCATGATTCCAGCCTCAACCAGAAAGTGAAGTAATTGTTAACACATTGCCAGTGAAAAGGAGGTGGGGCTAGGTTCTTAAATTCCCTGTGATTTTACATACTAATTAAGTTCAACTGTAAAGGACAACTCCTCAATTCATTCTTTCTTTTATTAATTAGCTTATTTACATTCATAATATCATATTTTTATGGTTTAATCCTAGTTATGATACCTAGTTAYGTTATTGTTTTTCTTTGTTTATTCCCGTTTTTGTTAGCGTTGTAAAATGATCCTTTAGYGTCACCACGCGCATATAAAAGGCCATAAGCGTCCCTATTAGCCAGTTTTTTCCAAATAGTTACTCGTAAATATTGATTGTGTATCCAAACTCCTTTCGAATACGTTCCTTTGGTAAATCCTTGGTTTCTAGAGGCAAGCGGGATCGATATGTAAGTACTCCTTTATTTCTTATTTAGATATTTTGTTCGGAAAACTCAAAACGCCCACGCTATCAAAATGAGTTTTATACTGCTTTATGCC